TTTGGGCCATTTTCTCAGTCTTCGTGGTGGATTTTTCTAGGCCAGCCATTTTCTCTTCTACATCTGAGATTCTATTTTCTGAATGTTCTAGTCTGCTTTTAATACTTTCAAGGGTGATTTTGAAGACTTCACCTCTAGCAGTTCCGTTTGAGTCTTTTGTAAAGCGTGTAATTCCTCTTTTAGATCTTGCAAGAATTTCCTCATCTCCTGGAACTCGTCAACTTCTTTCTCCTTTCTCTTTAGCAGTTCATTATCTCTCTTCTCTTCCATCTCTGTTAGCTTTGACATTATGAATGCTCTAAATTCCTTATCAGACATTTCCATGATTTTCACCAAACTGCTTGTGGATGAAGAAGAGTTATTCTTTTCCCTTGGAGGAGAGGTATTTTCTTGTTTTCCCATATTCCTTGTGATCCGGTGGTGATTTCTTGTCATCTTATGGATGGTGTGTTTCTTTGAATTCTTCAAGTTCAGCCGCTAGCTTGTTTGCTGGAGGCTGAATTATCGGTAGAAAATCTTCATTCCCTGAAATATCTACTTCGCTGGAGCCATGTGGAACCTTCTGAAGGCCCGGCCTCTTCTGCCGCTAGCTCGTTTGCTGGAGGCTGAATTCTCAGTAGAAAATCTTCATTCCCTGAAATCTCTACTTTGCTGGAGCCACGTAGAACCTTCTTCTCCCCCATCTCTGATTCTGTTGGTTTGCAACAGTTAATGGATGGGTCCTTCTGTGTATTACCGTAGAGATTCCTTTCTTTTCCATTTAATTTTTTTTTTTTTTTTTGGAGAAGTTTTTGCTATAGGGCGCATGTGCTCGCCAGAAAGACAGCGAGAGACAGAGAGACACAAAGCGAGAAATCACCCCCTGGGGAGATGGCCATGCCACAATCTCTTCTCCTGCATTCTCCTCTCAGGATCTTGGGTATGCACACACATGTGCCTAGCGTGGGTTTAAGCCACTGGGTCCAGGACTCAAACTGCAGTCGACTACGTGGGAGCCCAGCGACATAGCCATTATGCCAACTGCTGGTCCCCATCTTCTCTATTTAATTTTACTTACCGTTTTTCTTTTTAATTTGCTGCAGGGCACTTGCACTCATTAGAGAGACAGGAGAGAGGAAACGTGAGAAAGCAAGCTACCAGGTCTGGGACTCGAACCGTGTTTGGCCATGTGGTAGTCCAGCACCTTAGCCACCATGCCACCTGCTGGCCCTGGGATGCCTTTATACCCAGCAAGATGCCCCGAGTGCATCCGATTGCTGAGTTCCATATATCTGTTTTCACTGCCAAGAGTGTTCCATAACAGAAGCACACGGGTCACACGTGTGCTGGCCCCTGGGTTCACAGGCGAACACTCCACATGGCCAGCATGAAGGGAGAGATGGGGCATGTGACCTGTTCTGTCCCTGGCCCGCTCTGACCGCTTTGACCTGCAGGTGGTCTGAGCTTCATACACTTAAAGGACACAGATGACATATGCTCTGATGTGGGCGGGTGTCAGCTTTGCTCTGGGCTTAGAGCTGCAGCTGAGGGCCATGTGAGCTGTCTTATTTCCAGCCATGTTCTGGTGGCTGTGCACTGAGGAGGGCCCTGGGTCCTAGGGAGCACGCTCCATGCCCGCAGCCACAGCCAGTCCTCTGTGCGCTGTCCAGCTTCACCCCTGCAGCAGCATGTGGGGGTCTCCCGAGGTTCTGTACTCTGTTCTTTTTAGATTTTCTTCTTTCTGTATGATTGAGCAGGTGTGTGCTGTGTGGGGTGGGGAGAGGACCTCTGCAGATTCTGGCCACACCGCAGTCCCCTTTCTAGTCCTCCAGGCTCTCAGGTCCCCAGCCCTGTGTGAGTCAGGCTGATTGGGTAGAGCTGTTGCCTGAGATTCGGCTTCTGAGTAGCTGTTAGCCCTGCACCACGGAGTGGGCATCCTAAGAGTTTTTTTTTAATTGTTGGGTTTTGCTATAGGGCCCATGTCCTTGCCAGAGACAGACGGAACAGAGAGAATCACTCCCAGGGGTCTATAGCCGTGCTGCAGTTTCTTCTCCATTCTCTCTGGGGATTCTAGGCATACACACACATGTGCTTGGCCTGTTTTGCAAGCTGCGGAGTCGGCTGTGTGGAGTCCAGCGCCTTAACTGCCACACCACCTGAGGCCCTGTGTGTAGTATTTTACAAATAGTTAACACATTGGGCCGATAGGCAGCGTAGTGGTTAAGGCACTGGATTTCCACATGGTCAACTGAGGTTCTAGTCCTGGACCTGGCAGCTTTAAAATCCCAGCAAATAAATAGATAAGTAAGTATTTAATAGAAGTAGTTAACACATTCACAAGGTTCAAAAACAAAAAAGCTGGCCTAGCCATGGTGGTGCGTGTGAAGGTGTGTCCGTCTGCTGGGGCCACATGGGGTCTTGGGTTCCATTCCTGGTCCAGCCAAGAGGCCTGGCGCCGGTGGGTGCTGTCTTGCAATGAGAAAGTGTGTCAAGTTGTCCCACAGAGATTCGCCCCCCGCCCCTGTTCCCACGTCGTCACTTGTTCTCTCTCGTCGCCTTACACAGAGTAACGTGATGGGCATGGTGTCGAGTCATCCCTGAAAGTTTCTCTCTCCCAGGAGGGCAGAGTGCCACAGGGACCCCACACTGACGAACCCCCAGCGTCTGCCTGGCCGGGTCGTGGGCACATGTGCTGGAGCAGAGCTCAGAGCCGCCCTGGGGGCAGCCTTGCACCGTGCTGAGCGCCCGTCACCCACTGGGCCTTGTTGCTTTTTAACTGAGGGTGCGCCTTGGTGTCTTGAGTGAGACCAGAGCAGCTGCAGGTTGTGCATTTGTGGGACCGCCGCTCCTGTCACTGGCCATGCTGAGGGATTCTGCGTGTCCTCTTTGCAGTCTGACGAGGAAGGCGGCCGGGAGGAAGGAGGGGAGGACGGACAGCAGAAGTTCATCGCCCACGTGCCTGTGCCGTCGCAGCAAGAGGTAGCCTGGGCCTCGCTGCTGCTGGGCTCCTGTCTGTGCAGACCCACGCATGCTTTGTGGGTCTCCGTGGCCCTTGCTCTGGACCCAGCTCCGCTGCACCAGCTGTTGTGGGGACTCAGAAAGGGCGGGAGACTGCTGCACCCGGGAGGGCGGCCTCCTGCCGTGTGGGGGCCAGTGGGGAGGGCGCGGCTGTGGCTGAGGCCTGAGCCACTGTCTTCCACCTACAGATCGAGGAGGCGCTTGTGCGGAGGAAGAAAATGGAGCTCCTGCAGAAGTATGCAAGCGAGACCCTGCAGGCCCAGAGCGAGGAAGCCAAAAGGCTCCTGGGATACTAGGGCCAAGCCAGGGCCGCCTTGGTTTGGAAGACTGTCCCCTCCCGCACCCCCAGCCTGGAGATGGTGAGGCTGCCCGTTGCTGCTGCTCGTCCACTCCCCTTGCACCTCATCCCTGGGCCGAGGGGAGGGTTGTCTCCGCTGCCCTGGTGGCCAGCCTGGGGCTGACTTCAGCCACATCTTCGTAGGACTGTGTGGCCCTGTAGGAATACTCTTCTCCTCTCTCTCTTTTACTAGTGGAATAACAAAGCCTTGGAATACTACAGCAAGGGTAAACCAGTACAAAGCAGGGAGAGGTGAGAGTGAAGGGCACTCTGGAGCAGTGGGGCCGGGCTGGCTCCGAGGGTGGACGCCCTCCTGGACCCCGTGTCTATACTTTGGGGTATGATGTGGGCGCTGCCTGGCTTCCTGTGGGTTTTTTCCTGCCTTGTCCTGACGCTGGGGGTGTGGAGAGCATCGATTAGCGGCCAACATTTAACGAATGTGATTTTCCTTTAAAAAAAAACAAAAACAAAAAGTGTCTTAAAAGAAGTATCCAGCAGGGGCTGATGGCCAGAGCTAGCCCTCACCCCCAACCCACTCCATCCCCACGTGCCCTGCCGGGGGGTAGACTACCCTGTCCTGTGACCTGTTCTGTAGAGAGCTATTTTCATTAAAGATTTTTATAAGAAAGGGAACTCTTGTGCCTGGAACTCATTCCCTGCCTGCTGCACTGAGGCCACACTAGGAGGCCTGGTCAGGGACCCCACGGTGCCACCATCCTACAGGGAAGCCTCCACCCCAAAGCACCAGCTGGCTGAGGCTGGGAGGTCCAGAGCAGGGACAGGATCAGCTCCCGGGCCACACGTAGGAGCTGAGCTGAGGGCAGGGCCGTCCCAGGGGCTCCTTCCAGGTGGGAAACCTCCCTCAAGCTGTGGCCGCCGGCAATATGCAGCTAGCAGCTTGCAGGGCCTAGGAGCTCGGGTTCAGAGTGCTGGCCATCCTCGGACCTGGCGCTCGGCTCAGGCTGGCTGTGACAGGAACTCCTGGCTCGAGCAAGCCACATGCAGCAAGTGGGGTTCCTCATTGCCGTGGGCGGCTGAAGCTGGCCTCTCCAGGGAGCCTACCCTGTGGGTGACTCGCTTTGGCTCCCTGCGAGTGTGGGCTGGGCCTCAGTGCAGGAGCAGGCCAGGAGCAGGCGGGGCAGAGCCCAGGCAGGTGAGGGAGATGAAGGGGAGCAGGAAGGGCTGACACCCTGGAGCACCTCCCTGCAGGTGGCCAGGAAAGACTTGGCTCCAGGACGCAGCCCGGGCCTGGCCAGAGTCGAGGCTCAGGGCGGAAGTTGGTGGGACATTTGAGCGAGTCCTCGGGGCCCAGCCTGCTTCAAAGGCCAAGACTGGGCCTGTTGGGGCGGGTGTGCCCTGGGGCCTGGGCAGGGGGAGGCAGTCCCAGTGGTCTCCTGAGGACACTGCACACTGGCTCCTCCTGGTATGGCCAGGGCTGGAGGAGCCTGTCCTGAGAACAGGGCTGTGCTGCCCTGCTCACCTGGCCACAGAGTCTCTAGACCCTTTGGCAAACAGGATCTGTTTTTTTTTTTTTTTTTTTTTTGAGAGGTTTTTGCTATAGGGTGTGTGCGCTCATTAGAAAGGTAGAGACTGAGACAGTGAGAAATCACCCCCCAGGGGTATGACCACACCACAATCCCTTCTCCATTCTCCTCTTGGGACCTTGGGCATGCACGCACACGTGCCCGGCATGAGTTTAAGCCATGGGTCCAGGACTTGAACCACAGTCAACTATGTGGGAGTCTAGCGACATAGCCGTTACGTCAACTGCTTGTCCCCTGTTTAATGGTTTCTATTCCATGGGCTCTGCCTGCAGTTTCCACCCAAACTCTGGCAGCTCTGCCTCCCACCTGGTCCTGGAAGTGGGCTTAGTTTCGCAGTTGCCGTGAGGCCTCGGGTGGTGTCTGTGGGTGTTCTCTGCACCTGTAGCCCCACCTACTCCTGTGCTGGGGCAGTTTATAAACAAGATGAGAATCTCCCTCGCTGTTTTTCCATTCCTGTGAGGAGGTCCCGACGGCCCGTTCCGACAGCAGGGCCCACAGAAGGCAGAAACCACCAGGGGCCTCAGGTCTGACATACCCCAGCAGGCCACAGGGAAGTGGGGTGCTGAGTGTCTGTGGACTCTGCTGTAGCTCCTGAGATCCGAGTCTGTAACTCAGGACACCCTCTCCAGTGAGGTGAGGCGTGCCCCGGGGGTTCTGAGACAAATGGCAGGTTAGAGAGTGAGGTGGTGGCTGGGGGTGAGGAACAGATGATGTTAGGAGAGTTGGACCTGAGCACACGGGTGTCCCAGAAGGTCTGGGGCTCGGTCAAGTGTCTGAGCAGGGTCATTCTAGCAGGTGGGTGGCTGGGAACTGAGGCCTGGGAGGAAGCCAGCCTGTTGTCTGGACTCTGGGGTGGCCATGGGATGGGGTGGGGGTAGACTAGGGATTTTGAGATGCAGGGGACCTCCACATTCAGGGGCAGAGCCTTGGCGTGAATCGTGTCATCAAGACAGAAGTCAGGCCAGGCCTTCAGTTCTTAAGGGGGCTGGATGTGACCCGGCTGGTTTGAATCTGGTTTGAATCTCGACCTTGGAGACCTGAAAGTACGTGTGGTGTGCGTGTGTGTGTGCGTAGCCGCCAATATCCACATAGGGCGGAGAGACCCAGCAGAGGGGACTGCAGCGGGATGTGCCTCCCTCTGTTCCTGGGGAGCGCATGCCCTCTGGTATGCCCTCTGGTAGTCGGAGTGAGCAGAGAGGGAGGGCTGAGCTAAGACCCTGATAGTGGAGGGTGGGGGAGCAGGAGTGGGCTGCCTGCCATTTCTCTGGCTCACCAGGGCTCCCCAGCCCTCAGCCCACAGCAGCCCGGGGCATGTACAACCACCAAGGCGCTTCTCACTACATTGTGCTTTTAATTTCCTCATACTTTGCAGCAGGGACCCTGTGACTGTTAAGGACACGGGGCGTCGTGGTTGGTGGCTGGTCTGCTAGGTGCTTTGCCTGTATTTCTGGCTGGGGCACGTTTTCAGGGCTAGCCCTGGCACTGCACGTGAGAACTTGGATGATAGTTACCAGTTATGTGGCGGTGAGGAAAGGAAGATGAGAAAAGGGTGGGAGAGAGAAAGCAGGGTCAGCTCCGCCTGGAAGAGCTCTGCTCACAGGCCCCTTTGCAGGATCCATCCTCGGTCAGTGCAGCAGTGGCTCAGGGTTAGCCCACTGACACGCGCTTTAGAAGGTTCTTTCTGTTTTTAAAGGTTTTTGTCATAGGGTGTTTGCTCAACAGAGGCAGTGAGAGGGAAAATGAGAAATCACCCCCGGAGGGGGAACGACCACACCACAATCTCTTCTCCATTTCCATCCTGGAATCTTGGGCACACATGCACAGGTGCCTGGTGTGAGTTTCAAGCTACTAGATCCAGGACTCAAAATACTGTTGCCATGTGGGACTCTAGAGCCTTAAGTACCACATCACCTGCGGGCCCCTAGAAGGTTAAATTGTTACTTTTAAAAAAATTTGGAATATGCATTATTTCAAGTTTGAGCATTAAATTGAGACATCATTAGTATTTTATACTTGCTCCATTTAAAAATAGCATAATTCTTTTTCAGATAAAATGTCTATGCTCTTGAGGAATTTACCACCAAAAGAGGAAATGCAGATATTTTTAACAGCTTTTTGAAGTTTAATTTACATACCTTAAAATCCATCCCTTGTAAGTGTATGTTCTAGTGATTTTTCCGTTTGCTGGAGGACACATGAGCTTGCTGGGGAGTGACAGGGAGAAGAGGACAGTCATCACATTCCCTTCTCCATCTCTCTTGCCCTTTGGACTTGGGGCACGTACACACATGTGTGCATAGTGTTTCTCAGGCCAGTGGGCCTAGGGCTCAAGTGGCATGGTTGGTCATGTGGACCTGGCTGCTCTAACTACGACACCGTGGAGCCAGCCGATTAGTAGTCTTTAATAAATGTCCTCAGTCTTGCAGCCCCACCCCACCAATGCAGGAGTGGTTTGGTTTTGTGACAAAACCCTTACCCATTCAGACACGCCCATCCCTGCTCTGCCCTGTGGCTGTGGGCACCAGCCCACTCACTCATCCTGGCAGTTGGTCCAGCCCACCCTGCCCCAAGCTAGAGGCAGATACTATTTTCTGGGCTGGACTTTTGATAGGGTCCTGCTCTCAGGAACAACCCAGCACAGACTGTGCCTCCACGTCCTGTTGTTCTCCCTGGGGAGGAGGTGCTTCCTGCTGTCCCACTCCCCAGCCCCATCTCATGTACCAAAGTGGGGCTCTCCCAGTTGCTTTACTTTCTCTATAAAATTTGTTAATACTGATCTTTTTTTCACGAACAAGAGGGAGTACAAGACAGTACCCTGGCAGGTCCTCTACTTCTAACCTCCTCCTCTAGATCCAGTCCTGGGTCATGGGCACATGTGCCGGCTTGTTCAGGGAGACCCTCAGATTCGAACCTGTAATCTTCCAATGTGGGTCAGCTTTGCTGAGCACTGCATCGCCACTGTGTCACTGGCCCCCAGAATGCCTTTTTGTTTTTAATTTGTCAGGGCCTGCATGTGCTTGGAGGAAAGAGGGAAAAAACAAAGTGCCCCCACGGGGAAGGTCACACTGTAACCCCTTCTCCGCTCTCTAGGGATTGTTGGCACACATGCACAAGCACCCAGTGTGTTTCCAGGACTTGAACTGGCAGTGGGCCATGTGGGATCCAGCCGCTCCAATTACTCATCCACGGCTGGCCCCAGAATGACTTCTTTTTTTTTCCTTTCTTTCTTTCTTTCTTTCTTTTTTTTTTTTTAAGAGATTTTTGCTATGCACTATGTATTTTTGCCAGAGAGACAGAAACAGAAAATAAGAAATCACCCCCCAGGGGGGATGGCCACTCCTCCTCAGGATTTTGGGCACGTATGCACATATGTCCAGTCTGAGTTTCAAACTGCTGTGTCTGGGACTCAACTGCAGTCGACCAAGCAGGGGTCCAGCACCTTAACCACTACCTCACCTGTTGGCCTCCAGAATGGCTTTTCAAGGTCACTGGGGTTACTGACCAGGTATGGTTGGGCATTTCCCATGAGATGAGGCCCGCAGGGCCCCTGCCTTCTCCATTGCCTGCCCTGCTGGACTCGAGGCTGGTGGGGCTCTAGGACGGCCTTCCTCCCTTTCCTACTGGGGAAGGTCTGGGGTGAGACTGATGCATCCCACAGCCCTGGATGGCCTTCGGCAGGGCCCCAAGCTGCCGAGGTGCAGTGGGGGTGCTGCTCTCGCCCGAGTGGAGGGAAGCCCCTGGGGTGGTGCTGTTTGCTCCAGGTAAGTGCAGTCTGTGGAGCTGGTCTGCTCTCCACCCCCAGCCTGCCCCCGTCCTCTTTAGCCAGGGCCTGAGGCTGGGCCAGTTGTCCTTCCTGGGCTTCCTGGCAGCGGGCGATGAGGACCCTTCCCTACAAGAACTCGGCTCCCTTCCACTTCTGTGGCCAGCTGGACTTCTGGCCTTGACAGGCCTGTGTCCTTTTCCTTGCGGTGTGCTCGACCTCTCCCAGCAGTGTGAGAACATGGGGCGCCCATGTCTCCCTCCAAGGGGGAGCTGGGGACGCTGCTGCTTGACCCCTTCCCTGTGACCATTCTGGAAGCAGCCTTTTCGGGTCCGAGGACTGGCTGGGCTAACAGGCCTCGGACCCGGAAACACCGTCATAGGCTGCCTGAGGCCAGCAGGTAGCACAGTCCAGGGGAGCTGGCCAGGCCCGGCTGGACAAGGCGCAGTTGAGCAAGGGTCTGAGGGGGCGGTGCTTTGGGGACGTGGCGTGGCGCTGGGGGCGGAGCCCAGGGCTCTCTGAGGGCGGAGTCGGGGTGGAGCCGGAGGGCCTGGGGGCGTTTCCGAGGGCAGAGCTGAGCGGGTCTGGGGGCGTTCCCGGGGCGGGGCCAGAGCGAGGTGGGCCTGCGGGCGTTCCCGGGAGGCGAAGCCGGGCGGGCCTGGGGGGC